TATATATAAATATATTTAATATATAAACATAACATTTTTCTTAAATATATACATCTATGTGTGTGTATTTATATTATACATAATAAATATACACCGTACACACACATATATTATGTAAACAAAAACTTTTATTTTGGATGCGATTAAGCGTTTGACAGCACTATTTAAGATATAATTTATTTCTGTGACACAGCGCTGAATTTTCAGCATCATTACTCCAGTTTTCGGTGTTGAAACTTTTTATTTATTTAACGCATCCTCGCTGAATAAAAGTAGTAATTTTCTAACCCCAAACTTTTGAAGAAACACTGTTCTTTTTAACTTTTTATTCATGAAAGAATCCTGAAAAAAGTATCACAGGTCCCAAAAAATATTAAGCATCACAACTGTTTCCAACATTGATTATAAATCAGCATATCAGAATGATTTCTGAAGGATCATGTGACCCTGAAGACTGGAGCAATGATGCTGAAAATTCAGCTTTGCATCACAGGAATAAATTATATTTTAAAGTACATTAAAATAGAAAACTTTTAACTTTTAATTTTAAATTGCAATAATATTTCACAAAATAAAAATTTTTCCTGTGTATTTTTGATCAAATAGATACAGCCTAGATACAACTTTATACTGATCCCAAACTTTTGAACGACATAATACAGCACAATTAATGCATTCAAAACGTTCTCGGCGCTAATGAAATGTCTCATTTTATTAAGATATAGATGGTGCCTTGTGTTTGAGGAGTGTTCTCCAGTCCCGCTTTTCCTTTTTCTTCAGCTTCATCACCGGCTCATTGCATCTCATTTCCCATGAGCACTGCTCCGCGGTGATGGCACCGGACAGCTCGAGCTTTGCATAGTAATGCCGGTCATTCACGTACCCACTGAGATTCAAATACATGAAAAATTCCCATAAAACATACATGTAAGACTCCATACATCAATGCACATGTTGTTTGCTGTCCTGTCAAATTAAAGGGGTCATATGATGCGATTTCAAGTTTTCCTTTCTCTTTGGAGTGTTACAAGCTCTTGGTGCATAAAGAAGATCTGTAAAGTTGCAAAGACTAAAGTCTCAAATCCAAAGAGATATTCTTTATAAAAGTTAAGAGTCAGCCGCGCCTACCTAAAACGGCTCGTTCTAACACGCCCCCACATATCTACATCACTATGTGGAAATATTAGCATAATGCAGCCCAAATGTGCACGCAAAGAAAGAAGGCGTGGTTTCAGGAACGCAGTAGTGTTGATGCAGCCATGTCAGGGAGACGCTGTGTGTTTCAGTGCGAAAGCAAAAGCACTTTATTTGGCCTTCCGAAAGTAGATGCAATTAGGAATCATTGGTTAAGATTTATTTACAACAGAACAGCACAACCCAGATGTTCGAATTTGTGCAACGCATTTTATGGACGACAGTTTTTTTAACCTAGAAGAGTACAAAGCTGGCTGTGCACAAAGGCTATTTCTAAAAAATATTTTTCAATTCCGACTTTGCTATGACAATCTGGTGCTTCTGAATCAGCGACTGTAAGTATGTTTTGTTACTAGTTTAAGTATTTGCTATTGACTGTTCAAATGCGGAGTTTTGCGCAGCGCAGAGTAACACGATGTGTGTGTGTGTGTGAGGGGAACAGGGTCACATCACAGGAGAGTGAACTGCCTGTCAGAAATCATAGCACGTCAGCTGTCTTAACCGCGGCTTGTGTACTGCATCATCACTGTGTCTGTCACGCGACTCTGTTGCCCTTTCGGGCTTGAACTGATGGTAAAACTAACGACATTATTAACTGTCTTGATATTTATCATCATTGTGTCTGTCACGCGACTCTGTTCCCCTTTCGGGCTCTGTCTTTACATTTATTTTGAAAGATGAAGCTCGTGATTATGGTAAGGGGCGTTACATTTCCGACGAGTGCTTGCGGTGTTCGGCCAATCACAATGCACTGGGTCAGCTGGCCAATCAGAGCAGACTGCGCTTGTCAAAGGAGGGGGCTTTGTTGAAAACGAAGCGTTTGAGAGAGGCGGGGCATAGAGGACCTACAATAATGTACAGTATTTGAAAAATAATGTTTTTTGAACATTAAAGCATGTCAACATATTCTGTTACACCAAATACACAAAATAATGACCTTTAAAATAGCATCATATGACCCCTTTTTTTTCTAGCATGAAATGTTAACATTAATAAATGACTGAACAAACAGATGCTTTATAATCCCGTGACCTGTAAATGACAGTGTCTGAGCAGAAATCACACTTCTGCATCACTGGATTGATGAGCTTTATGTAGACCGTGACCAACTCGCCCCTCTGGAACCATTTGATCTGTGGGTGAAAACTACACGGGAAACACTTGGTATTACTATCAGATATGAACAATAATCAGAATACCTTTACACATGGTATGGCTGAAAGTTGTGAACATATTTAATCAAATATGTATAACTCACCTTGTAGGCTGGAATGAGATCGGGGCTGGATTGTGGAAATTCTGTGGTTCATCTTTGTCTACATAATCAATGTGGGCAAAAACCAAGTGTTACTATAAATGGGAATAAACAGACTAGTTGACTTCAAACTATTCCTTACACGTGAATAAACATGCCTGTTTCAGTGCTGGCAGGTCTGGTCTGCTTCGGAGATGAGAATCCATTCAGATCAGGGCTAAAAAGAAACAAAAACAATGAGAAAGTCAGTTATTACAAACCAGAGACAGTTCTTATTCAGAACAGGTTTAAAATACTAAAATAAAAAATACTGGAACAGTACGATTTTGATGATAAAAACCAATGTAGCCCGATGACAAACAAATAACTGGCTGTTTTAAATAAATCACCCATTCACTGCAGAGGATCCATTGGTGAGCAAGTGAAGTAATGTTACACTTCTCTAAATCTGATGAAGAAACAAACTCGTCTACAATCTTGGATGGTCTGAGGGTGAGTGCATTTTCATTTTGGGGTGAACTGTTCCTTTAAAGTACGATCACATTTACTGTAGTTTGGCGAATTTCTGCAGACGAAATCCAGCCATTTCAATAGGAATCAGTAATTGTGAATTTCGTGGCGGTACAAAAGATTTCCCCACGCATACTTCGCAATGGATTCAATTTGGTTACAAGGGTTTGCCACATTCGAAACCAACAGAAAGCTGCTTGACTGGCAAGTGACTTCTGTGTGAGCTTTGCTTCAAAGATCTCTACACTATTGATTATAGACAATGGACCTTTATGCCTGCAAAAATTTCTAAATTTGAACAAAGTGGCTTTGATGACTTTCAATTTGAAAAAACAAAATAAATAATGCAACAGTGCAAATGGAAAGATAGGAGGATGAAAGATATTTACTGTATGTAGTGAAAACCATAAAACCACAAAAAGATGAACTTATAGTGAAAAGCATCTATACTTAATGTATCATGCAGCTTGAAGTCAGTCAGTTTGTACATAACAATCTGAGACAAATATAGCAATTTGATGGAAAACGATTTGAGTAGCGTGGCATGTCTTTAAGCTATAGACTCAATCATAATAGTACTATAAAAAAATTTCATTAAAGGGTTCATATGATGCGATTTCAAGTTTTCCTTTCTCTTTGGAGTGTTACAAGCTGATTGTGCATAGATAAGATCCCTGAAGTTGCAAAGATTAAAAGTCTCAAAACCAAAGAGATATTCTTTATCAAAGTTAAGACTTGCCACGCCCCCCTAAAACGGCTCGTTCTAACACGCCCCACATATCTACCTCACTATGTGGAAATATTAGCATAATGCCACCCAAATGTGCACGCAAAGAAAGAAAGCGTGGTTTCAGTAACCGCAGTTAGTGTTGAAGCAGCATGTCAGGGAGACGCTGTGTGTTTCTAGGCGAAAGCAAAAGCACTTTATTTGGCCTTCCGAAAGTAGATGCATTTAGGAATCATTAAGATTACTTACAACAGAACAGCAATGCATTTTATGGACGACCGTTTCGTGAACCTAGGAGAGGAGGTAATTCTGACTTTGCTATGACAATCTGGCGCTTCTGAATCAGCTACTGTTTTGTTATTAGTTTAAGTATTTGCTATTGACTGTTCAAATGCGGAATTTTG